TTGTGCAGCAAATTTCGTTATTTATGAATGGGATTTGTTATGAAAATGTCGAAAGATATAATTTCCATAATGAATGGTGGGCATAATGTGTGTCGGACCTAAGATTAACTAAGTATTTTTTGGGGGAGGGAATTAACATTAGGACACCATCATTAATATGTGATGTATTAATTTCTCTGCTGGAAACGGTTACATTTAAAACAAGTAAAATAGCTGTAAGTTCGACCGGGCCGAACTTTAAATACCCTCTACCATTTGGAACGAGTTTTGCAATTTTATCCGTTCTATAAGGGGCTATACGGCGGCGTGGACCTGCATCGGCAACTTTTATCATAAGCCATTACAATATTCTAATGCGAAACTTAAAAAAACAGTGAATAATGTTGCTAAAGTCATCAAAATACCGAATATCGGGAGGTACCGTTATATGGGGCTATACGAAGACGTAGACATGCACAGACAATCTCCTGTCATAGGCTGTAGTATCCATTACGAACTTCAAATACCAAATTTAAAACAATTTCGGTGAATGATGTTGCTAAAGTCATCAAAATACCGAATATCGGGAGGTACCATTATATGGGGGCTACCCGAAGACGTAGACCTGCACAGACAATTTTCTGTCATAGGCTGTAGTATCCATTACGAACTTCAAATACCAAATTTGAAATAATTCCGGTAAATATTGTAGCTAAAATCATAAAAATACCGAATATCGGGAGGTACCCTTATATGGGGGCTACACGAAGACGTGGACTTGCACAGACAATTTTCCGTCATAGGCTGTAGTATCCATTGCGAGCTTCAAATGCCAAATTTGAAGCATTTCCGGTGAATAATGTCGCTTAAATCACCAAAATACCGAAAATAGGGAGGTACAATTATATGGGCGCTGTACCAAAACGTGGCCCATTTTTAATACCAAAAGTCCTGCAGACATAATACACATTTGAGTAAAATTTTATCAACCTACTTCATTTTGTTCGGAAGATAGAGTAATTTTCACAGGCGGACAGACAGACGGACATTGCTAAATCGACATAGAATTTTAGGCTGATCAAGAATATATATACTTTGTGGGGTCTAAAATTTATATGTATAGGTGTTACAAACGGAATGACAAACCTAATATACCCTCCATACTATGGTGGAGGGTATTAAAAATATTAAAATCGGTTCCAGTGTGTTTTATACCCTCAGCCATATAGGTACCGATACGGCCAAAACAAGCCTCATCGAAATAACTGTTTTAGACCCTAGGTCAAATCCGTTCCGGGACATTTGAAGTCGATCTGTCCATCCGTCCATCCGCCTGTCTGTTTGTCTGGCTGGCTATTACGCATGATAACTCTCGAAGGAGGTATCCAATTCAGAGATGGGCAATACCGGCCCACTCCTTCTGGTACCTCCCCCACAAAAGGTCGAAATTTTAAAAAAAAAAAAATATTTTACTGCACAGAAAGAGAAAAGATAATCCGATTTGGCTCCAACTTTGCAAATCCTAATATTGGCTTCAGTGCTAGGTGCCAAACGGACAACATCCTGGCATTCCATCAAGTACCTCCCCCACAAAGGGTCAAACATTTGCTTAATTATAACTCTTATAAAATGTGATGTAAGAGTCGGATTGTCTTTAAATTTAACACATACCAATAATTGTATTAACCCAAGGATGAAGATGGTACATATCTGCACACTCCTCCGGGTACCACCCCCACAAAAGGGTCAACATTTTCAATATCCATGAAGCTTATAAAACGCGAAATTACACATCTGCTGCCATTCAGTTCTGGCACATCTAAATATTTCTATCAAGACATGATCTGTTATAAAGATGGTAGAGATCAAACAATTCCTTGTAGTACCTCCCCCAAAAAGGGTCAAAGTTTTTAATAACCAAAACGATTATATAATCCGAAATAAGCATGCGGTTCTCCTTATATTTCAAACATCCCATTATTTCTACTAACACAAAATCTGCTGTGCAGATGGGATATATCGGTCCACTCCTTCCCCACCGGTAACTTTCCCACAAAGGGTCAGTATTTCGGATATCTATGTAGCTCATAAAACGCGAACTGAGAATCCGATTATCTTCAAATTTCACACATCCCAATATTTATAACTACATATAATCAGATGTGAAAATGGGGTATATTGGTCCACTTTGAATAGTTAAATCTCTAATAATTTGCCAAGTAAGCATCCGAATGCCTTCAAATTTCACACATCCCAATATTTCTATCAACAATGATCTGGCGATCACAAAGGGGTCAACTTTTTGCATAATTATATCTGCAAAAATTTGCGAAATAAGCATCCAATTTTCCCTAAATTCATACATCCAAATATTTCTATCTACACATAATTCATGTGTGAGGATAGAATATATCGTTCAACTTCTTCTGGTACTTCCCCCACAAAAGGTTTAAATTTGCAATAATTATTCGAATAAATTCGAAAATAAATTTTAGATGCTCAAACCAATATGTTTTTCAGTATTAGTTGAAGTGGAATACTTCCGTCACCTAAATATGGTACCGCAATCACATTTCTTAATTTTCCAACATTTCTCATGTAGAGGAGAATGAAGGTGTTGATATAGCCCAAATCTGGCACATTTACATAAGACTAGGTCAGATCCGAAACAGACAACATTGGCCAACTTCTTTGGAACCTTCCCCATAAAGATTCAACAGCTTGAAAAATCATAACGCAAGTTAAAATAAATTTACATATAAACGAACAGTGGCTGAGGGTATACATAACGTGACCACACGTCCCGCTTTGAGGTTATCTGTCCCGCTGTCCCCAGCGAGAGCAAAAATGTCCCGCTTTCGAAAATACTGGATATTGATATTGATGAAAAATACATGAGTTATTTTTTTCCCCGTGAACATATAATTTATTTGCATAGCTTTTTTCAAGCAACATTAACATTAAAATTAACTCGAAAGATTTTGTAATGCTAATGCTGGAGTTAATGTCGACGTCGTCGACGACGTCAAATGTCAAAAAAATTGAATCGTATGAAATTTTATGAGAGCAGTTAATCTTAACGCCGTAAGAAATTCGACGCCGAAAATGTTCAATCTGTTTCAACTTTTTCGGCGTAGTCGACGGCGTTGACATTAACTCCAGCATAACAAGGGAAATCACCAAATTAAAAATGCTTATAAAAACAGAAAAAGTTTCTGTCACTCTGTCAGTACCCTAAGCATAGACGCTCTAAATTGTTCTGGTATCTTTTCATCGCGGAGTCGGAGAAGGCGAGCAAAGTCAAACAATTTATTTTCAATGTTAGTGATTGTAACATTACAATCATGCCTAAACGCAAGTGTACTTTTAACATTTCTTTGCAAAATTAGTATCCATTTATAAAACAAAGAAGTGGTGAATCAGACGTTACGTGTGAAAAATGTCGTACTGATTTTAGTGTTGGACATGGTGGTGCCAGTGATATTGAGAAGCATTTAAAATCGGAAAAACACAAGCTTTCTGATCAAGCTGCCGCTTCAAGCTCGTCAATGCTTTCTTTTTTTAAAAGAACAAATTCGGCGACTTCCAAAGACTTGGATATAGCTGCAGCGGAGGGTGCGTGGGCGTACCACACAGTGCAAGAAAACCACAGTTTTCGTTCGAATGACTGTGCTTCAAATCTAATACAAACATGTTTTGAGCAAAAATTTAGATGTGCCCGTACAAAATCACAAGCTCAAAATCAAAACAGCCGCAGATTGTCTCCCTGTTGACTTCGAATGCATCATTGTGAAAATTTATTCATTCTTCTACATCTACAGCATTCGGGTAGAAGTTCTGAAAGAGTTCTGTGATTCCACCGACACAGAGTATCAGAAACTGTTGGGCTACAGTAAAACAAGGTGGCTTGCTTTAATGCCGGCGCTTGAGAGAATTTTAAAAATGTTTCAGCCTTTGAAAACCAATTTTCTGAGCATAGATAAATGCCCTACTATTTTAAAAACGCATAGATAAATGCCCTACTATTTTAAAAACGTTTTTCGAAAATCCCAGCTCTGAATTGTGGTTATATTTTTTGCACGCACAGACAGCGATTTTTCATCAAGCCATGTTGAAAATCGAGGGACAAAACGTGTCCGCAATAGAGTCTGCGAATGAAATTAATCGTCTTCGATTTTCCTTCCTCATTCCGTCCGCAATCTACTGGTAAAATTACAAAAAACTGACGTTGCTGTTGATGAGCAGAATGTGAAAACTGCGGCAGCGGACAAGTAAAGAATACTTGGAACAGTGGTGCCAGTTCAATGCACAACTAGCAGTATTTGAATGGTCAAATTTGAGAAAAGTCCCTACTTGGGAAGACGTACAGAATGTGTCGGATTTGCTGATCACACAAAGATTTCTTAGCAGTAGCCAAGATACGGAGGTGTTCGATGAGTTTTCGCTTATTTCCAGTTACGTCACAGTTGAAAAAATCAAAAGCTGGAACGATGAGAATGTTGCTACTGAAGACCGTTGGGTGGAGCTGTTTAAACACTTCTCAACTGCACAAACTTTCGCACAATTATTGAGTATGTTTTATGTATGCCTGGAAGTAACGCACCTGTCGAAAGAGTTTTTTCCCTAATGAATAAAATATGGACAAGTGAAAAAACGCAGTTAAGTTTTAAAAGCTATTTTAATTACTAAGACCAACATCAACAAACAATGTAATCAGCTCCATTCCTACTTGAAAACTAGACCCGATATTTTAAAACTAATTTGCTCTGCTGACAAATATAAAACAAATACTTAGACATAAGATTAATTTCATAAATTAGATTTATACGTATTCTCTCCATTTTTGAATAAAATTTGTTTTTAAATGCATAATTTTTTTTTTACAAAATTCCGCAGATACTTTCTAATTATTTGTTTATATAAATATTTGTTAGTTTAATTATTTTTAATTTAATTATTTTTAATTTAATTTTTTTTAATTTAATTTATTTGTTTATATAAATGTCAAAAATTATACAATTTTACTTCTTAACATACATTGTTCTTAGTAATGTAAAGAATTTATAGGACAAATGTAGAAGCTGTATAAAAGATTTCATTAAAGATTGAATAAAAATTCTAATAAAAAGATGTACCTCATTCATTGTCCCCTGAGAGATCCATATGAAATATGTGGCCTTCAGTTGAGCCGGTCTCTGGGCACGTTTAGACATTAGAATCAACATTTTTTGACATCTTACCTCAGTCTTTAGCCATTGGGTAGTTAAAACTGCTGTTGATACTCTTAGACTCTATGGACATGAAAGAGAGAGGGAGAGACAGGGAGAGGAAAAAATTATTTATTCAACAATAATTAAAATATATAAATTTTTATTTTAATTTTTATACCCTCCACCATAGTATTGAGGGTATATTAAGTTTGTCATTCCGTTTTGTAATATCTCGAAATTTATATTTTAAACCCCAAATAAAATTCGGTGTCGATTTAGAGATAACCGTCTATCTGTCTGTTTCGTCTGTGGAAATCACTTTAGCTTCCAAACGAAATTAATTAGGTTAATAACATTTTGCTCAGATGTGTGTTAGGTCTGCATAAATTTTGGGATTGAACATGGGCGATATAGGTCTACCTTATGCCTTACCTCCTACAGAATTGTACCGACAGATTTATGTTTGTTGTGTGTTTTAGTCACAATTTAAATTTGCTGAAAATTGGCAGCATGAGTTTCCATTATGTATGAAACATCCTTACATAGACCTGTCAATATAGCTCTAAGTGTTGGTATAGTCCCCATATATCTGTACCTCCAGATATTCGGTATTTTGACGAATTGTGTCACCCGGAATTTTTTCAAATTTGAAATTTGAAGTTCCAATGGTACTACAGTCTTTGACTGAAAATTGCATATGCAGGTCCACGTCTTCGTATAGGCTCCCTATAGTTGGAGCTCTGATGATTTTAACGATATTTTATCAAATTTCGTATTTGAACTTCGTAACGGGTACTACAGCCAGTGATCGAAAATTGTCTATCCAGTTCCACTTTTTCGTGGTAACCCCCTATATTCGCTATTTCTATGATTTCAACAGGATCTGTCAATTTTAATTATGTCTTTGTGCATTTGTTTGTAGCATGGAGAAGGAAGCGAGATAGACCCATAGTTACGTTTGAGGATCTTCATAGAATCACTTTCTGAGACGATATATGCAAGTCAGTCAATCTGTCCATGCATAAATAATTGAGATGCAATTTTCCAAACAAAAATGCTTTATCCGATTTAGTGTTTTACTCCATCACATTCGGAATATGCTCCCCACAAGAATGATATTTGGTAACAGATATCAGATGCAGCCCAGAAATACCTCTACCAAATTGTATCAAGGTCGGTTCAGATTTGGATATAGCTCCCATATATATCTTCAACCGATTTCGGGTTAATGTTACACCAAATGACCTGAATATTTTCGATTCTTTGAATCGGTTCAGATATAGCTGTAGCTCCCATACATTTTCGACCATTTTCATGTTTATTGTGCACCAGATGGTTAATATCAGTCCAAATGGATTGAATCTTGGTATATCCGACCAAATTCAGTCTAGAAGCAAGTGCATCAAATTTGATGAAAATCGGTTCAGATATAGCTTTAGCTCTCATATATATGTTTCATCCTATTTGGGGGATTAAACCCCTCACATTCGTAATATGCACTCCAGAAAAATGATATTTTTTACCGGTCATCAAATACTGCTCGAAAATACCTCTATCAATTTTTTTCGAGATCGGTTCAGATAAAGCTATTGCTCCCATACATATGTTTTATCCGATTTGGCGTTTAAAGTCCCTCACAAGTGTAATATGCGTTCCACAAAAATTATTTTTGGTGCCAGATATCAGATACAGCTCTGAAATAAGTGTATTAAATTTTGTCAAGATCGGTTCAGATTTGGATATAGCTCCCATATGTATCCTCAACCAATTTCGGGTTAGTTGTGCACAAAATAGCCAATATCAGTCTAAATGACCTGAATTTTAGCATATCCGACCGAATTCAGTCTAGAAGCAAGTACAGTAAATTTAGTGAAAATCGGTTCAGGTATAGCTATAGCTCCCATTTATATGTATCATCCGATTTGGGAGTTTAAGCCCCTTCACATTCGTAATATGCACTCCACATGTAATATATTTTGTACCAGATATCTTATAGACCTCGAAAATACATTTGCCAAGTTTTATCGAGATCGGCTAAGATTTGGATATAGTTCCCATATATATCCTTAATCTGATTTCAGGTTTATTGTGCAAATAATGCCTAATATCAGCCCAAATGGCATGAATTTCGGGACATACATTTTCATTTGGAGGAACTCGGCTCCGATATATATATTTTTAATATAATCCTTCTCGAAGTGATATCATGCATTCTATAGTATTGTATTTGGTATACAAGATCAAATTTAGTGAAAATCGATTCAAAATTCGATATGCCTCTCATATATTTGTTTCTTCTGAAATAACTGCTCTAAAGCCAAGTGTTGATAGTTGGTATGATCTACTCCAAATAAATTCTTTTGTTTCGGGAGCTCAACTAAATATACATAGGGGTGTTGGACTTTTGACATTTCCTTACTGTTTTTTTTTTTTAATTTGCAAATTCCTTGTAAATGGTAGAGGTATTCAAAATTCTGACCGATCGAACTTACTTCTTTTTTAAGTTGTTTCTAATAATTTCTATTATGGAATGTTATTTAACTTACCGAATCCATCAACATTTGACCATAGGAACATATCTCTGCCGATTGTATTAGCATGGTAAACAAAAATAAAGATAATTTGAAGAGACTGAGAAACGAAGTTCCAATTGTCATCAGAAATCCCAGCAAGCAAATCACAAATGTTGCCGAGGCAAAATGCACGAACAGCAGTAGTCCAAATATATCGTTCAAGCGATCGGATAGGCTGTAAATATAAGGGGAAATAATAATAAGTGGAAATAATACTAAGTGGAAAAATCAGACGGTTGGGCGACAGAAATATACCTTAGGACCTATGGTGGTTTACATTCGATCGAATGGTAGTTTTGTATTATTTTTAAGAGGAAGGTAACAATTTAAAGAAATATATATGAAATTAGAGCCATATCCTATAACTCAATGCCAAACTTAGAACCATTTAGTACTTTTCACACAAATATAGGACGCATATCCAAACGACCGCCAAATCCCAAATACAGACACTAACAGTAACCTAAAAATCAATTTTCTGAATTTTATCTCTACACCTTCATCACTACCATGAATAGAACCATTCATTACTTTTTGTACAATTGTGGTACACATTTAAAACAGAACTTCCACATAACCAGGCTACATATGAACTGCGATCCTAATACTAAATTTCAGATTTCATCTATTCATCTTCTACCAAATTTTACCAAATATAGTACTATTTAGTACTTTTCGTACAATGGTAGCATATACTCCCATTTCTCAATCCCATATACCAATCGAGACCTTTATATCAAATTTCGGGATTCCAGCACAATTCTTTCAACCAATACCAAATTTAGTACTTTTCGTACAAATATAGAATGCATTCCCAAACCAACGCCAAATCTCAAATACAAATACCATCAGTAATCTAAACATAAAATTTCTGAATTTTATCTCTATCCCTTCACTCAATTCTATATACAGTACTATTCAATACTTTTCATACAATTGTAGTACACATTTCCGAGACTACCTCCATTTGTCCAGGCTATACATGAACAGCGACCCTAACGCCAAATTTCAGATTCCAAACACTATATGTTCACCCAAAGCCAAAATGTACTAAACAACGTACTACTTAGTACCTTTCGTGCGCCTGTAGTATGGGGTGAGATTAAAAAACTGCAACAAAGTCAAACGCCATAATTTTAATTTTATGAATGAAAGCAAAAACTGTCGGAAATAGCATCAAATTTTAGAATAAGTTTAGATTAGTTCGAATTGGTCAACTTTGGCATGAATTATGGACTTCAAACGACCAATCACACGCTTCTCGGCGGTATTTTGGCCCATTCCCGGCGAAGCGCTTGTTTGAGGTGATCGACATTTTGGTATTTTTTTTTTTTTTTTTTATTGCCAACCTTGCTTTGATACACCCTCCAGAATATTTTCGCGATAATATTCGGAATTTATTCAGATGCCACGGTCGATACGATACGAGCGAAGAGCGACCATCGGCTGTTGTGGAGGCCCATACCATCACCATGGGCGGCGCTTGAGTTCTGGTGGCCAACCGAAGGTGCACATTTTCAGCTGACCTCTTTGGCAAGTCAACACGATAATTTTGTTTGTTTACAAACAGCTGGACAACGAATGCTTTCTCATCGGAAAAAACCAAATTCGGCAGTTCACCACATTCGGCCAAGCGAAGCAACTCTTTAGGTCTTTTGAGTCTATTTTCTTCCTTGGGGTGTAAGTTCTTGCACTTTTTGGAATTTCAATGGCTGTACCCTGAGGTCATCTTTCAATATTTGCCGAATGGAATATTGCGATATGTTCAGCTCACGAGCCATCTTTCGGCCACTGCGATGCGTGTTTTGATCAAGTCGCTTCTTTATTTTTCGAACCGTTTCTGCTGATGTTGCTGTTTTCTTCCGTCCACTTCCTTGAAATCGACCAGCGCTACGAGCGATGCGATCACGGTAACGAGCGATGGTACGAGACACAAACGATTTATTCACATTTAAATGCTGGAGTACTCTAACGATAGCCACTTGTGACTTTCCAGCCAAATATAAGAAAACACACTATCACGCTTGAATTCAATCACGAATAACTTTTTTTCTGGAAAATTCTCAACAAAATGCTTTTGTACGCTTGTAAAGAAAGTAATGAGCTGTCACTGGAATAATTTTAACAGCTGTCGGACGAGTGGCTTAGATATGGCAGCAGTCTGAAATCGGTTGCAGTTTTTTCATCTCATCCTATATATAAACATGGACCTGCATAGACAACTGTCATAGGCTGTAGTACACATTAGGAACTCTAAATACGAAATTTGAAACACTTCCGGTTAATAATGTCCCTAAAATCATTAAAATACCAAATATGGGGGTACCATTATATGGGGCATATATGATATCGTGGACCGATAGAGACAATTCTTTTCCAGGGGTAAAGTACTCAGAAGGATCTCCTTGTGTGGATTTTCAGACAATTCCATTGAAAAATGTGGCTACAATAGTCAAAATACCGGATATCGGAGGGCAATATGATATTGTGGACCAATATAGCCCATCTTCGAACTTGGCCCTCCTGGAGACAAAAGACTGACCAGAGAAAAATATTAGCTTCCTTTCTTAAATCCTTTTGAGGGCTAAATCGTTTAGAATTTTAGAATGAGTTACAAACGGAATGACGAACTTAATATAGCCTCCATACTATCTATGGTAGAGGATATAAAAAATATACCCCCTTTCGCTTTAACTATGCATCGATTAATTAGTATTCAATACTTACCCTAACAAATGACTGTGATATTCTATGAAAATCTTCAAAAATTCCAAATCGTTTCCATTCTCCCTTCCTTCCATTTTTGCAACGCCCTTACTACCACTCCCTATCTCATAGCTTTCCATCGTATTTGCCACAAAATCGAAATGCATTATAAGTTGGGAAATCAGCGAATATAGTAGCAAATCATTGGAAACGTTACCCATGGCGGTGGTATGACCAGCCATACTAGCCATGATATAGAGCAGATAGTACGACCAATGATTTTGCCAATTCCAGGGGATGTACATGAAATAGGGAAGTTCCTGTTGCGATCGCGAGTGATGAGCATTTCTTGACGAAATCCCGAACTCCAATATGGCCAGCAGATTGAAAAACCAAATGGCAAAAACAAATAAAAGTGACATGAATTTTGACTTTCGATGACACTTGCGTAGGTACGCCTGGACACCATAGTCCTGTTGTAGTATCAATTTCGTCGGAAATATGTCATGAAAATCACAAATGAGAGATTCTATTAGCGGTCTCTTTTTCCATATCATATAGATTTTCCAACTCGAGTTGATTACAAACCCAATGTAGGACATGGACATGAGCAAATCGGGAATGTCCACAGTATCCGTTGTCGATAAAAACAGATTTAATATTTCAGCCAACATAACCACATTCATATTCGTTATATTTATGTAAAATATTATTGTTTTAAGATATTTTTTGCATCGAGTCCTGCGTTCCCGTCTAGCCCACGATTCAATGCCAATGGTGGCATAGATGAAATCCACATAAACGAAAAACTCCTCAAAGTTGTTTAACTTGAACATTATGAGGGTAAATGTTGCGTTTCAGCAGCGAAGAGAACTTTTTGTAACGAAAATTGTTTTCAAACTAAACTGAAAATTTTTCAAAACTAATAAATAGTAATAACTTATTACTGTCCAACATGAAATAATTTTTGTGTCAACCTTGTCCTGTTGCTAACTCTAAGTGTCGCTGCCTAACTTCCGCCAAGTCTCGTGCTAACTATTATATGAAGTTAGAGAAAACAGGATCATTTGAATTATTTAAAACAAACTTTGTTTATGCAAAAAAAAATTTCAAAATAGTTTTTGAACTACAAATTAAATAATTATGTTGAAACAAAAACAAACAAGAAGTAGGGAAATAAATAAAGTAGTGCAAGTTCGACTATGGGATGTAATACACTATTTTCTATGTTTATTGAAGATGCGACGTTAAACCGGGCCGAACTTTTAATACCCTCCACCTTTGGGAAAAGGAAACATTTTTATACAGTGGTTTCTATTTACCTGCATCAACATTAGCTGCGCATTGGCCTTTGCAGACCAAAAAACTTTTTTTATGCCATTTTTTTCTGAATCCCTTTATTTGAATTGTATTTAAGTGCCCAATCGATAGCTGCACATTGGACATTCCTGCCTCGAAAATTTGGTAATTTTGTTATAATTTGGTTACAAAAGTTGTATTTATCTGCACAAGAAAATTTTTTGCAAACTCAAAGAAGACATTAAAAACTTCCACTTCGTTTTTGTTTTTGTATTCGCAAAAACAATAACAACACAAGAAAAGAGCATGCATTAAAAACATATTCTCGCTTCCTCTCCCACACTAAAAGATGGTTATGCTGGATAAAACACCACTGATGCTCAATACATATGTTGTGAATTTGTCTCTCTGAGTTTGTCTATCCATTGCTTAACTACTTTTGATGAGCTAAAAGAGAACACTCTTTTGTTTGAAATTTCGATGACGCTAATGGCGAGCATTGCTTGCCAAGACAATTCATGAGAATTATGAATTATTCATTTTATGTTAAATTGTTGTGTTTAATATAATTAAACCACTTAATAAATGTATTATAAACTTTAAAAGATTCCCCATTGATTTTGGCTGGCTATTATTTTACGTACGTAAGTAAAATAAAGATTGCTGCTTTGTTGTGCACGAATAGAAAATTAAAGATACCTGAACTTTTTGTGCACGTAAGTAAAATTAAAGATACCTGCTTCATTGTACAGATAAATGCAATGAAGCTACCTGCATTTTGGGCATTGCTGCACAAGATGTCGTGCAATTTTTGATTGTGCAGGTAAGCAAAAAAATACTGTATAAAAGTATCTGAATTCAAACGCGCTCCACTTTAAACTACAAATACCAACAAGACCGTTTGGATAATTCTGCTATTCCGGTATATGGGGGCGATTATATGGGGGATTATCAAAATACCGAATATCGATGGGTATCCTTGTATGTGCGCTATAGGAAAATGTAGACCTAAATATTCAATGTTCTGCCACCGGAACTAGAACCCATTATGACCTACAAATACCAATTTTTAGACAAATCCGTAAAAAAATGTGAGGAAAATCATTAAAATACCGAATATCGAGAGATACCATTATATGGCGGCTATACCAATCCGTGGACTGATATATCTCAATCTCAATACCAACCATCCAAGACACGATACAAATCATTGTGCCAAATTTTGAAGCTCTACGTCAAATAATGTGGGCTGTATCGCGATTTCAACATAGTGACAGACTACGTTAAATCAACTTAGAATTTTATGCTGATCATGAATATATATACTTCATGGGGTCGACGATGGGAAGGATGTTACAAACGTAATGACAAAGTAAATATACCATCCTTTTCGAGGTGGAGGTTACAAAAGTTGTATACCCTCATCATGGCTTCAGAGAGTATATATTATTTGATACGACCAAAACGTGCCTCATCAAAATAGCGGTTTTAAACCCTAGGTCTCTTTGGACCAAATCCGTTTCAGAACATTTGAAGTCAATTTAGCGATGTACGTCTGTACGTCTGTCTGTCTGCTGGCTGGTGCGCACTATAACTCTGGAAGGTAGTACCCGATTCGGCCCAAACTTGGTACATCGTAATATTACTATCAAACTTATATTGATTTCGGAAATTGGCTATATCGATGAACTCCTTCAGGTAAACTGCCACAAAAGGTCGAAATTAAAAAAAAAAATTCTGATCAGAAAGAGAAAGGATAATCCGATTTGGCTCCAACTTTGTAAATCATATTATTTGCATCCGAATTTTTAATATCCATGAAACTAATATAGAGCGAAATTGACATTCGATTCCATTCAGACTTGGTACATCACAACATATTATCAATTTATCAATTCAATTTCAATTTATTATGTAGATGGTAAAGATCGAAGAATTCCTTCTTGTACCTCCCCCACAAAAGGTCAATGTTTAGAATAACCAAAACGATTATAAAATATCGTATCATATTTATTTAGGTCCGACAAGAAATTGACAATACTGGCCCTCGGAACCTACCCCATAGAGGGTCAACAATTTGAATAATCATAGCAGAAGTCTAAATATATTTAAATAAATAATCTTTGGCTGAGGGTATGTAGCTTTCGGCAATACCAACTGATTCGATTTAACTTGTTTACTTGTTAATCTTCACATAGTCTACATTAGTCTGGAACAATGTTATCCCACATTGAAGTGAGATATCTAAAACTGCAGTGGCCAATCAGTATGCATACCGCTGTTTTAGATCAGACTTACTGAGTAATTGAAGGAAGCTCGTTCTTCTTCTCGGATTACCGTCTCTAAGTGCCATCTTCAAGCTTCTTTGGTAAACAATAGATTTTTGCTACTTGTTTAATCAAAACTTCATACCTCGTACTAAATTTTCAGTCTTTCTAGGTTTTATATAATATATGAGTTTTTGATTTTTGGAAAGAGTAATGGAAAATATTAAGCTTTTACCCCAAAAAGTCTTCAAAATTTTTCATTTTTCATATAAACCGAGGAGGATATAAATATACCTATTGCACAATGTACCCACATCCAATTTTTCTGTCCACAACTGCTGCATCATCTCCGTATGTAAACTTTAGGATTTCGGCTCTCTCATTTCCAACGTTACTAAATTTAGTACAATTTAAACCAAAAACCAGGTCCACATCTTAATCCCAAATACCAATTTTCAGGATTTCATCTCTATTCTTTCACCCAATTCGCATGTTGGTACCACTTAGTACTTTTCGAACAATTATACTACACATTTCCAAAACCAACTCCATATCTCAATCCCAGATACCAACAGTGACATCTATATCAGGAGTTTTGCTCAATTCCCTTACCCAAAACAAAATATAGAACTATTTAGTACTTTTCGTACAATAAAAGTATATATTTCCGAAACGACCTTCATATCTCAATTCCAAATACCAAACGAGAACTTCATATCAAATCGGAGAATTCCAGCAATATACCGTCACCGAATACCAAATTTGTTAGCTTTCGTACAAATTACGCCAAATCTCAAACACAGATACCATCAGTAATCTAAACATCAAATTTCAGAATTTTATCTCTATCCCTTCAGGCAATACCAGATTTAGTACTATTTAGTACTTTTCGAATAATTAGAGTACATATTTCCAAAACGACCTCCATATCTTTATTTTGTTACCAAGAGGGAAATTAAAATCAAATTAGAGGATTCTAGCCCTACCTAATACCAAATTTACTTTTCGTACATTTATCGAACACATTTCCGAAATCACCTCCATTTCTTAATTCCAGATACCATTATTTATCCAAATATTAAATTTCAGAATTTTCTATATATATCCCATCACACAATACAAATAATGGTACCACTCAGTACTTTTTGTAAAATTTGTCTACATGTTTCAAAAACCACCTCCATATGTCTAGGCTACACGTGAACAGCGACCCTAATACCAAATTGTAACGAATATAGTACTATTTAGTACTTTTCGTGCACTTGTAGTACACATTTCCAAAACAACCTGTTTATCACAATCCCAACACCAACAGCGAACACAATATAAAATTTAAAATTAAAGCTTCATTCGTTCCTCAAAACCAAGCTGTTCCAAATTTAGTACCATTTAGTACAGTTGGTACACCAAATTTCAAGTTTTTAGCTCTATTTATTCACATAATACCAATATGTATCATTTTCCAAGTTTGATCTCAAGATTTTGCAGAATATTTTGAATCCCGTTTAACTCATTTCGTTCCGAGATTTATGTTCGTTATTATTATTTAAAAACAAGTAAGCAAAGGCTATAGTCGTGCGGAGCCGACCATGTGATACCCTACAACACTACAATATGTTGGAAGCCCCCTCACGCCCCAATTCATTTTGGAGGGTTTCGATTTTGAAATAATGTCATAGAGCCCTACCCAAATGTTGCCCTTATTTACGCATTCCGCTGTCTTGTTATGTATTCGAAAAAAAAATCACTAAGGCCGTGGTCCATTTTACAGCTAAATATAATTCAATGACCACCCAAAATGTTCGATTTCTTCCCTGTCCCTAACTCTCTACTTATGTAGCTGGACTGCAAAATCAGGAAAATGTTTTTATTTTTGGTCCATTTACATTTTGAGTCCATTTCAATCCCTAAATATATTGCGGACATCTTTGAAAACAAAAGCCCTAGTCCTTCTGAGCCTAATCTTACCCTTATGAACATTTTCTTGGGGATCGGGCGACAATTCCAATCTTTGTATAATAACCTTTAACTGTGTTGCAAGGTGAAAAAATATTACAAAATATAGACTTCAATATTTTAAGTCAAATTGAAAAAATCGCATGCGATAAAAAATATGAAAAAATAAAAAAAAATGTCACAAAATACTACAAAATGTATGTTAGCATCATTATTCGCATCTTTTTATGCAATTTTTTTTAGATTTCATACTTTTATGCCAAGAGGGCATTCTGAATTGACAAAATTTGTTAAAATCGGTCTAGCCATTTTTG